CCTGGGTCGTGTCCTGATGCCACTGGGTGCTCCAACCGAAGACAACTCGCAGCCCCAGGGCCGAGTACCGCACTCGACACGCTCCTGAGAATGCAGGGGATGCATTTCAGGCTGGCCTGGAGGGCGGGAGGCTTCGCCCACCAATCCCACCAACGCCACGCCGCCACCCGCCGCTAACCACCTCTCAAATGAGGTATGACCTGATGAGCCAGCATCTGGTGCCCTGCATCCCCTTGGAAGCACCCTGACGGCTTAAATAAGAGCTAGCAAGGGGTATACGGCTGGAAAGAGAGCATCCCAGGTTGGCACCGCAGCAACCCCAGAAACTGGGCAGCGGGGCACGCAGCAGCGCTCAACCGCCGAGTGCCAGCGGCTGATGGGGTATGTGTGAGAGGACGCGATCCCCAATGCCCCACGTCTTTTTTCTCGCCTACACATTACAAGCAGCGACTGCACAGCAGCGTGGCGCCTGTACAGCGCAACAGGCGGCGCCAACCGAGCAGGCGCGCAGCTCAAGAGTGGCTGGGGAGGATAGAAGGGTGAGGTCACTCGTATGGACCGCCCTCCTCCTCCGCAAGCCCATCAGCACCAACACCATCGTCATCTGCCTCGGTCTCCTGCTCCTCCTCTTCCCCGCCTCCAAACTCGCTCCCAACCGCCTCCTCGTCGCCGGCCCCATCAAAAAAAACCTCCTCCTCCTCCCCATCCAACAGCTGCCGATCCGGATGCCCGTGGTTGTCGGTGTGGCCGCTGTCCCGCATGCACTCGGGCAGGGTAGCTGCCATGGCAATCATCTTATCCTGCGTCTCACGATGCGGCGCTCTAACCAGGGGTTGGGGGCACTTCCAGGGCAAAACATGCAGCACCCCACCAGGCATGGCAGCCAGGTGCAGCACAGCGCAGCACCGACCGGCCCGCCCACCTGCGTCCAGCCGCCGCCGACGCTGTTCCCTGCTGCCAGGTCGTGGGAAGCAAGCACCCGGTCGTAATCCATAGCGTCGGCCAGCAGGCACAGGGATATCATGGCCCGATCCCGGTCGCAGCTGCAGGCAGGCAAAGGCCGAGGCGCAAGATGGTCATCAGAGAGTAGGCCCGGGTGCCAGGAACCGCACCGGCCGCAGACAAGGCGCGACAGCAGCAGCAGCAGCGCGCTACTGGCGCGGCAGGCTGCAGCGGCGGGCCGCACCCCGCTCTTCTCTGGCAGATGACCATTGGCTCTGCCCGCAGCGTGAGGCCCGGCAGGGAGGGCCAGGGCTTCAGGGTGCGGACAACCTACGCAGCGGCAGCAGGAGGCGGCCAGCCAGCACAGCACCGCGTTGGTGTGGCGGGGAGGCCAGCAGACACACAGCAGGCACGGCACGCGCAGCCCGGGCCGACCGACCCGCCTCTCACCCGCGCGTCGCCTGCATCCTGCGGCCCGCTGAGGCGCAGCGAGGGGCGCACGAACGACACGCCATCCAGCGCCAGCAGGGTGCGCGAGGGGTGGTGCAGCACGCTGATGTGGCCGCGGGAGTGGCCAGGGGTGGCCACATAGAGCAGGTCATCCACACCAAAGTCTCGCAGGTCGGCCAGTGGGCCCTCCCAGGCGTGGGCGCGGTCAGCAGGCACCTGGGGCGGAGCAGGAGGGGGGAGGAGGAGAGCGGCGGGCACAGCCGGTGGCGTTGCAGGCAGGGAGGAGAGGCCATGGTCTGCGCGTAGTTGCGGCGCAGGCGCAGCAGCGAGCAGAGGCCCAGCGTGTGGGACGCAGGACCACGCTGCTGGTGCCAAACCGACGATGTGGCACGCCCCAAGCCCCAGCGCTTGCCTTGACCGGCGCAGTGCCTAGGAGGCCCGCCCAGCGCAGCACTCGGGCCTCCACGCTGCCTGGCTGCACCAAGTTCTCGTCCCCAACCAGAAACGGCTGCTCCTTTTCATGGAACGCCACCGAGGCATCGGGGTAAGCTGCCAGCAGCAGCGGCAGCGCGCCAATGTGGTCCGGGTGGTGGTGTGAGACTGCAAGGGGCCGCGGGCAGTCAAACATGGGCGACAGAGGCTCACACCAGGCGCAGCAAAGGCTCAGGTGACGGGCTCCGTGCCACAGCGGCTGTGTAGCCAGCGCCAATGGGTCCGAATGGCATGCACAAGCCTGTGTGCGGCGCCACCCACCCAGGATGGCTGCCAGCTTGTTCCCTGCGGGGATGGCGGCTTGCAGCGCGCCCACCAGCTGCTCCGCCAGAGGCTGCCGCGGCGTGCCCGGCACGCCGGCATCGATCAGCACCCACTTGCCGTCCTGCCCTGCCAGGAAGACCGAGACGGGGATGGAGAGCAGCCCCGGGACGGGCTGCCACCACTGCGTGAGCCTGCACCAAACGAGGGGGGGGAGGGCGAGTGCTCAACTGCAGCGGCGGCGGGCAGTAGCGGCGGCAGAGGCGCAGGGCCCGCTGCGTCGTCCTCTGGCTTGCCTGTACAGTCCATCAGCCACCTGCTCAAACCGGGGCGCTGGCCCGGCCGGCTTGAGCACCAGGACGGCGACACCCGCGGAGAGCAGAGCCACCAGCGCGGGGCCGAGCCTCATGATGTTGCCCTAGGGATACAGGGACCATCGCCTCGGGCCGATCGCCCTCAATTTCTTGCACGTGCTGCGGCTGCTGTGGTTTTTTTGACACACCCTGGAGGCGCGCCTAAAGACACGATTGGATCGCAGGTCACGATTGGATCGCATGCCTCCGCGCTGTGCGCATGTGCCAGGCCGGCCTCCCGCCCTGAAGCCACCGCCGCCACCCCGCCATGCACACCGAGCTCCTCTTCCCGCTGGTCTGCCGCAGAAATAATAGCTATGCACAGTACGGTAAAAAGATAGACTAAGGCAAAAAGGGGAGAGACGTGTTGCAAACTTTTAAACAAGGTCGGCAGCACTCGAGCCCCGCCGCACGCCGCCGTCCAAAACAAATCCTCAAGGTTTGACGGCGAGCACCTTTGTGTAGGGCGAGTTGAGAAAGACGCCGGTGGGGTCGTACTTGGCCTTGAGGGCCCGGATCTTCTCCAGGTTGGCGGCGCCGCCCGCCTTGGCGGCCGCGCTCTCGTAGCTCATGTCCAGGTCTGCACACACGGGGCAGCCGGGGGCAAGGGGCCTCCACTGATGTGTCGGCTGCTGCCAGCGAGCAGCGGGCACCACAAGGCAGACCGCGCCCTGCACCACGCGCGCCACACACACCTCTGCACACCACACAGCTGCACCACCCCACAGCCACCCCGCACCTTCAGCCACGTCCAGCAGGTTGACGTACTGGCTCATGGAGGTGGACAGCGGGCCCAGCACCTCCCGCAGCATGCCCGTGTAGCGCAGGCCCACCGGGTTGGCCGCCGCGTCAGACCAGCCAGCCTGCACCACCCACTGCAAGTCTGCAGGAAGGCGGGGGGAGGGAGGGAGGCAGGCAGCAAGGGCAGGCGCTGGTCTGTGAGGAGACGTGTGAGCGAGCAGCAAGACGCTACGGAAGCCTACTTGCTACATTCCCAGCGACGTAACTACGCCAAAGATGGCGCCACAACTGTACAAAAGCTGCGCCCGCCCACCTCCCTCCTTGAGCCCGATGGGCGAGGTGCTGTCCTTGAGCGCGCCGCCCATCAGCTCGATGAAGGACAGGGTGAGGCCCAGGTCGGGCAGCGGCAGCTCCTCGGTGGCGCAGCGCACATACGTGTCGATGAATTCATCGGTGAACTGCAGGTACAGGAGGTAACGAGGCGGTACACGTTGCAGTACAGGCTGAGGTACACGCGGCGCAGCGAGGCAATGTGGTGGGAGCAAAGAAGTGACCGCCAGGGGAACGCTGCCAACCGCAAGGAGAGTGCAGGGCTGGTGGCGGCGGCGCCGGCAGTGCCGCCCACATGCTCCGCCTTGACGTGGCCGCCTGTGGCCGCCTCAAAGTGGCCGGGGTAGGCCTCGGTCAGGCCTGTGACGCCCTCGTAGTGAGTCATCTGCGTCTGCAGCCAGGTGGACTGGCCCACCGTGTCCTGCAGGGCCAGGCACAAGGCCAGGGATGGCGGTTCTCGAATGAGGGGGGCTGGCGCTGGCGGTGCGGGTTGCTGGCACCAGTGCAGGGATGCCATCCCTAGGAGATCGGGCACGGAAGGAGAGGGGGCTTCCTAACAAAGAGCAGCAGCAGCAGCGCTTGCCTGGAGGGTGCCCAGGTCGCGCAGCGGCTGCAGCAGCGCCGCCTTCTCCTCCACCGGCTGCTCCCCGGTCACCACCACCTGGGAAGACACAGGCGCGGGCAGGCGTACCCTTCGCTCAGCACTCGCAGCGCACGGCATGGGGCACACCCACGCGGCCCCAACATCGCCCCAGATGCCACCTCCGCCGGACCCCAATGCCACCCTTCCACCCATCTGACCATGGACACCAGCACGGGCCCAAGCTCCGGATCCAGCATGCGCCCGCAGTTGAAGCCCAGGCAGGGGTTGGGCAGGACGGTGCTGCGGATCCACCGCAGGATGGCCCTGCACGGTGTTTAAAAAAAGCAAGCAAGCAAGCACATGTGTGGATCAGAGGGTGAAGCAGGCCAGGGCAGGCCAGGCGGCTTCACAGAGTGGCTGTCCGCTGCCTGCCCACCACATTGCTCGCTGCCCCGCAAGCCGCTCCCTGCCGCCGCTGCCCGCCGCTCTCGTGGGCTGGCTGCTGTCCCCTGCCGCGCCTGCTCCTCCCTCCCCCTGCTGCCCCTCCCAACCCCGGCTGCTGCCACCACCGCTCACTTGTAGTTGACATGCTCCGGGTCATCCTTCCACACCATGGCACCAGAGTAGGTGGGGGCCTCGTACAGCTGGAGCTTGACCTTGGTGACGATGCCAAACAGGGAGCCTGCGGCGTGGGGCAGGTTCGGGGCGTGGGGCAGGTGCGAGGAGGGCAGCAGCGGCAGGCGCATGGTTTGATGGCCGGGGGGGGGGGGGGGGGGG